CACTACTCAGAACGTTAAGGTGAAAAATTAACAGAGAGAATATATTGTATTTCGCTAGGAAAGTGTAAAAAATAGAAGAGTAGAAGAAATGGTAGGAAGAGAATGACTACGTGTAAGCGTTTAACGAAAACTTCAACATGTTAGATAAAAAGAAAACGCCACAGGGTAAATCGATAAACACCGAAAAGCTTTAAATAAGTAGAAAAATGTTTCGCATTTTTCGAAGACATCCGTCCGGCCTAAGTTTATAAAAAAAAAAAAGAAAAAAAAGAAAGAAAAGAAAAAAAAAGAAAAAAGAAAAGAAAAAATCCTTAAAATGTTTCTTCGAACCTATAACTCACAGTTAACAAAGGATAAAGTCGTTTATTCTTTAGAAAAATGTATATAGCTATCTATAAGACTCTTGACTCGTTTTATTCTCGATATTCACTCGTATATATATATTTATCTTTCGACTATGTAGAATATTTTTTAGTAACCTCAAGAAAAAGCAGCATACATTATGATATTCTTATCGTAATATCATTTATAAAAGTTATCAAAATATTTTTTTACGATCAATCAAATAATTCTCTATTCCTTACTTTTCAAAATTACAGATAGAGAGAGGCAAAAATATATTATTTATAATTATATCATATAATAAGAAGTATATTTATCAAGACTTCATGCTGACAAGATAATTCAAATTTGTATAACGAATATAAGATGATAATTTTAAAACGTAAAATAATATTGACGCAATTCGAATACAAAGAAACGAGACTGACATGGATATACAGTCGTTAATTTGTTTTCCACATAAAAAGAAAAAAAAATTTATATATATATATAAGAGAGCGAATAAAATATTAATTTTTGTTTAAAAAGTACTCCCACTTCCACTGTTATTAGGTTTACAATCTCTGTCGACTTCAGGATTTGATAATTCTATGTCAATATTTTCGACGTTTCCAGACACTTGCTCGCAATTCATTCTAGCGTCTTCCAAGTTATCGTTCGGTAGTTCCTCTATTTCTAATTGTTGCTGTTCATTTTGATTTTGATTGTAGTTAGAACGCTGCGGGACACGATTTCGCGAGGATGATCGTTTTCTTGATCTGGCCTTTGCACTTTGTCTCTTGTGTTCTTGCTTAATCTGTGACCTCTTTCTTGCTGGAGATGAAGAGCATTCGTCGTCTTAAAGAAAAAAGAAAGAAAAAAAAACAAATTTTTTAAACAATCGTTAATCCAGCTAACAAAATAAAAATATCTTTATGGAGAATCTTGACTGACCTCGGGAATATAATGTATTATTCGAATTAGCCAATTTATCGTATAAATTATCGTCGGAAATATCCGAATCGTAATTAGAAATCTTCTCGTAAGAACGATCGTTAGATCGTAATAAATCGTTTTCCATTATTCCGGATATTTTCTTTTCGATAAATTGTTTACGTCTAATCGGTAACGTCCAATCGTCGTTTCCCTCCTCCCTTCCACCTGTTTTTCGTCTTTGCTTTAACTTTTGTCTAACTTTTTCCTTTGGTTCTGAACATTTCCGGCGATGAGTGCATTCTCTGTTTCTACTTGCAATCCCTTTATTACGACGTGTTTGTTTGCTAGTTTGTTTTTTGCTTAACAACGAAAGAACATCAAACATTCAAACGATCGAAATAAATGATTAAGACAAATTTTAACGTAATATTGAATTTTTCTAATTAAAATGATCAAGAAATATACGAGAGTTATACCTATTGGAATTTTTAATAGATCTTATAGATCTTTCGGCTGATTCGTTTGACAATTTATCGGTTAAACCATCGGTAAATTTTGATTTTTCTGTCACGGATTGTTGAACGGATATCGGATTTATGCTGAGTAAAATTTTATATCTTCCTCCTCTGTGTCGTAGCAAACTAGCATTGACTGCATGTTTCAATGCACGACGAACCTGTTAACAAATTTTCCTTAAGATAATATTTATAACTAGATATCTTTGGATTTATCTCTTTCTGTTTCTTTTTTTTTTTTTTACATACTGGTATTTTTTTATTATCTTTTTTTTCTTTTTTCTTTTTTCTTTTTACCTGCATCGTAAGATTTCTAAAAGATCCATTCGAATTTTGTCGAACAAAATCAATGATGTCCCGTATGGTAGAACCTTTCCTGTCTGAAAGATTTTCAACCGCATCGAGGACAACGCTCATTAGCAACGGATTCGACGGTCGTACCATAATTTTTATTTGTTTACGTCACTTTTTATCAACGATTATAATAACGAGAATCTTAAGATCTTGTTTTTAAATTTTGTTCGTATTTATCATCGAACGAGAGAGCATTCCTTGTCGTCCCGGTATCAAATAATTATCGTTCATTCGTATGGTATCTGTCAACAATTTGTTTTTTTCCCCCTTTTTTCTTTTTTAAACTGTAAATGAAAAATTAGTTTTATTCGAAACTGTTCGAACCACGAATTTAAATAATATTCTATCCGGAAAGTCATTAACAACGATCACCGAACCAACATTTGTTGTTTCTTCACGTTGCCTGGCATTTTCAAAATGAAGTTGCAGTTTTCTCAATGACTACAACTTCGTATCCTTTTTAAATTTATTTTTTTTTTTTTTATTATCTAAATCACACCCTTTCGTCGTCAAATAGACAATATATACGTACCTATAACTTGTAAATCGTTATCCTCATCAAATTCAAAATTTAAAATTGACCCAAGCACGAATTAGAACTTCCTGCAACTTCTAATTGGACACTTTATGCGTTTACTCGTGTATCTGTTCCGTTGTTTGCATTAAACTATACAACTCTAAGACCACTCTTGTTACATCCATGTGCAAATTGCATTTCTGTCTATACCGAGTGGTTCAATAATTATTATCATTTAATAATATACAATGTCCGTTATTTTTTATATTATGAAAAATTGGCGAGAAACATATCTGTTGGTTAAAAAAAAAAAGAAACAGAAAAATATTTTTCAATTTTATCGGTATTTATAAATGTAAGCCTAAGATATTTGTATGCAAAAAATGTCTGATAATTCTTGCTACCGCAACGAGATATAATTTTTTCTTTTTGGTTGAAGAGAGAAAACAAATTTCAAAGGAAAGATATTAATGACGCAAAGTAGACTACATACTCATGATAATATTTTTATCTTAAGTACAATAATATATGTACATGTACTTGACAAAGTTTTACATGAGATAGCAAATGAAATAGATGATGGTTATTGTATAAGGAATCAATTCACATTAAAAAAAAAAAAAAGAAAAAAAAATAGAAACAAATTGAAGAATTCAATTAAATATTAAAATAATAATACCAATGTGATTATGAAATCTTATAAATAGTAATTTTGCAAGATAATTATTTTAATCGTTTTATTTTCGTTATATTCCTTAAAAAAACTATAATTTTGTTCTTACAGTAATATTTCCATAAAACCAAAAAATAACTATGTATTAATATTAATATTTATTGAAGTGTAATTAATAGCACGTATGACTACGATTTGATTATGCAAATACGTTTTATCAAAGTAATCTTTTATCGAATCTGTAGGGAAAATAAAAAAAAATGTCATTCGTAAAAACAGCAATTATAGATATTGTTCTCGAAACACCACAAGGACTCTTTGAATACACTTACCCACACATCTGACTATATTCCTAACTAACTAAACGTTTGTGTTAACATGCGTGATATTTGCTAGTAAGATACCTCCATTATCTTTACAACATACCGTTTTAAAAGTTGTTTTTTTATTCTGTTTATTTTTGTTACTAGTTCTTAAACGATAATTCGTTTTCGACTAATTGTAAGTCTTTCAATGAAATATAAACGAACGTAGTATATAGTCCATACGCTGTTTGTTCAATTAAATCTTTCTCTTAAATAAATAAAATATTTAGCACGTTCATTCATTGGCGCTGTTTAATACGGTTGTTCGTACGAAAGTAGACATAATTTGTTAAGGAAACATTATATAGTCGTATGTATATATATAGTAAAGATCGTAATACGCTGTTTGTCCGGAAAATTGAATTTCGAGATAGAACGGCAAAGTGACACAGGACTCACGCACACGCAGAAAATCGGTTTTACGCTTACAAAGAGAACCCCTTGTTCGATCGGTCTTTCCCCTCTTCCCCCCAGGATACTAGTGTCATCAGCATGTCATTCATAGATTCGTTAATGAACTTTCACAGTTACGTTGAACTGCATTCTTTTCTTTTTGTTCTTTTTCTCTTATTTTCTGCACCACGTTCCATCCAATTAAATGTAATCAGTGTTCAATACCGATAATCTCTCGATTCGCTACGATCTTTTGATATCTGCTAAGAGTTTTTTTTTTTTAAAAAAACATTGACTAATTTATTCCCATATAAACAACGTAAGTACTGTGACCAACAAATAAATATTTTTTAATACAAATTAATAAATCAAGAGATAACCATATCCCTTTGGCTTTTAACTTGAAGATTAATGATTAACTTTTCTTTATAAATGAAAAAGAAAGAATCTTATTTTTTACATATATTTAAATAATATTAAATAATATTGATTGTAAATTTTGTTAAAGTAAACTAACGACGTGTGGACAATCTTTTCAATTCATTTTTCTTTTTTTTAAGGGGGGGGGGGAGGAGAGAAGACAATTTACATAAAAACATTTTACTTATTTCCATGCAATATATTATATTTAAAAAGATTGTGCCGCAATTTCAAATAAATCGAATCAAAACTCTAATAGGAATCGTATAGACAAATTTGAGAAAAATAAGTTTAAAATCTTGTTAACTAATCAAATCACTATGTTATACTACGAATATTTTGATGAATAAAATTATCCATTTAAACAACAAAAATCGATTTTTTTTAAACTTTAAAGATAGTGTTACTATTTAACAATATAATATACATATATAATTAATAATAAAACAATTTATAATATATAAATATTATATATTGAAACGTTTCACGTTTTAATTCTAGGGTATCGAGAATACGAACGATTAGGACGAATTAATGATCCGTTCAAGACATTGTCGTGGGAAGATTCGGTCCCAGGACATCATGAAGCAACGAGTCCTACTCGCCTTTGCCAATGTTATCACTTCTTTCGCTTCATTTCTGTAAGTTAAACACTGATAATTGAAAAATCGCATTGTTCGATTCACCGTTTGTTTGTTTCTTCCAAGTTCCTAAGACATTTATATAACATAATTACAGTTCCTAAGACGATTTATAGTATTTTTTCGTACTACAAACACATTAACTTTAGTCACGAAATAATCGACAAATCGTTCGTTCGTGCAATTACCACCTGTTTGTATTTATTTACGAAATAGCTCATAGAAAATGTATTACGGTGAGATATAAATAATAGAACGATTTCAAAGTACAAACTTAATAAAAAGTAAATAATAGTGCAAACTGTTTAAAGTAACATAAGTATATTAAAGTTGAAAATAAATATTTGTCATTTTTAATAACTTCCGTTATTACGCCTCGTCATGATTAGCGAGCTATTATTTTGTAATTATTTAATAACCATCATTTTTCTTATTAACCGTCCAACTGTAATGGTCTAATTTGATTTTAACAATGGGTTAGAAAATAATGTCACGTACGTCGGTGTCCAAGTATGTTAGAACAAAGGGACCAAAAAAATATGTTATTTTCTTCTACAGTGTAACGACGAGTGCAAAAACATCAATGAGACAAAGAACGCAAAGTAACAATCATAGCAACATCAGTGAATTACTCGACAATCTTCTTCGTGGTTACGACAACAGCGTGAGACCAGATTTTGGTGGACCACCAGCAACGGTAGAAGTTGACATTATGGTCCGTAGCATGGGTCCAATCTCTGAAGTCGATATGGTAGATCTTATCATTGTTAATAAGAAATTAAAAAAAATTGCGCAAGAAAGAAAAAAACAAAAATAAATAAATTTTCCCAAATAGAATTTTGATATGGAAATACGTATTTCGTTTACAGACGTACTCGATGGATTGTTACTTTCGACAGTCTTGGGTAGATAGACGTTTAGCATTTCAAGGTGGCAAGGAAACACTCGCTCTCAGCATATCGATGCTGGCTAAAATTTGGAAACCTGACACGTATTTTTATAATGGCAAACAGAGCTACCTACACACCATCACTAGTCCAAACAAATTCGTCAGACTTTATAAAGACGGAAGGGTGCTTTATAGTTCGCGGTAAGTATTATCCAAATTATCTCGATAGACAACAAAATTTACTTTATTTATTAATTAATCTATTAGCATATTAATATCAAAGAGAGAAAGAGAGAGAGAGTACACGAATCGCGAGATAACGAAAATATAAAGAAATAAAGAAAGAATAAGAAGAAGGTGATAATAAAAGACTTGAGGAATATCTTCGCCGCACTCATTCTTATTATTCTTTTGTCACTCGTTGTTTGCAGTTGAAAGGATCTAACAAAGCTAGATGAATTTTTTGCCTGTGTAGATTTTTTAGCGTAAAGTACTACCCCCTCCCCCTTACCCGCCCCCGCTCAGTCTCTTCGGAATATTCTCTTAGTAGTAATAGTAATAGTAGTAGTAGTAGTAGTAGTAGTAGTATCTCTTAGGTGGCATAATATACATGACATGCCCCGGGCCGAGGGTAGCCCGAGAATCAAGGGTTAATTCTGGCGTGCACAATGGAGCCGATTCAGAAGACTAGGTCAAGAGAAAGGGAATGGTTTAACAAAGAGGAAACATACATCGTTCGTTCTTTCGTTCTTTCGTTCGTTCGTTCGTTCGTCCGTCCGTCCGTCCCTCGAATCCGTGGACTCTCTTTTTCTCCCCCGTATTTGTATTTGACTTATCCGCTAATTCCACGTTGAAATAACGCTCCCGTGGCTGCTTCGAACAGGGACCATTGAAAAATTCAAGGACACTCTTTACTCTTCGAATATCGAATGCTGACGAGGTTAAACACCCGATCTTTATTCGTCCCGGTAGATGGTCCAAAATGATTCCCGTTATATAATATATTTTTATCTCTCTTCTTTTTTTTGTTCCCCCTACCCCCTACCTTCTAACCTCTCCCCTCACTCCCACCCCCTTACGCCACTTTTTTCTTTCTTTTTACTTTTATCGATAGGTATGCGTACTTTTTTCTCGCTAAATTAAAAACATTTTCGATGGAAAAACGTGAAATAATATTTGACGAGCTCAATCATTTGGAATAGACAAAAAAATCTCTTTCTCTCTCTCTCTCTCTTTCTTTTTCTCTTTCTCTCACGCTGGAAACACCTGCGTCGCATACGTTACGCTTGTTGAAGCACAGCCATCATCGGATTCACTGTCGGTGGATATCACGTCCAGTGTACTATTTACACCACACTTTATTAGCCACTGTAGTACTGTACTGCGAACTGACCTAGTCGAACCGTCTAAATAACGAATAACCCTTTCAGAGAAAATTCAATGAAATTCGGTTTGAGAAGTCGTAAAGAAGAAAGTCGATCTTCCCCAAAATGTCAACGTTAATATTACTTTCTATCCTAGCATCAAATGAGACGTTTCATCAAATGCGAGGAAACGTGCAATACGTTTAGCAAATATTTACGAAATTTCGTCGACTTTCTATTCGTTCGTTCGTTCGTTCGTTCGTTCGTTCGTTCGTTCGTTCGTTCGTTCGTTCGTTCGTTCGTTCGTTCGTTCGTTCGTTCGTAGTAGTTGGTATTTGCAAAAGGTTGTGCAATTTGTGTAGAAACGTAGTCTACAATTATGTATAAATTTTAACGCGAAAAATGTTTCTTTTACGACACTTTTTTCCAAATATTTTCATCTAACGGATACATATATTTGAACCAGGGTTACCCACTATTTCTTTTTCTTGTTAAAAACACGAAAAGAAAATCTTTCGACCTCCCTTTCTGCGCCCCCGCTCCCCCCCTATTTAGCCGTGGTGGGCTAAAAAATGAAAAGAAGATACTCGTGAATTCGTATTTTCATACACACGTTCGTAAAAATCAATTGAAAATAAATCAAAATAAAGTGAACCTATATATATAGTTCTACGTCGGACGTGAACATATTATATAGGAGAGAACAAAGAATAAAAATGGGCATGGGATAGTTTCGAGTTAAAGGACAGGTTGAGAACACGTTGTAACGTGGTAAAATGTTTTTCCCCTACCCCCAACCTTTTCTTCCTTGATTCTTTTCTTTATCGTATCTTTCTACAAATGGGTTCGTATCGTATACTCAACGATACAAGGACCAAGGCATTCTTGTCCAGGTACATACGTACGTACGTATGTACTTTTAGTTTCAAACGGAAAGACAGTCGACCCCATTTTACGACCCCGTCTTTCCCTCGAGCGTACTTGCGCGTATCACTTTACGCGCCTTTTGATTTCGATTTCTCACCAAAATGTCTCGGAGATTTTCAAACTAGATATATCATACATTTCGTATCACTTTTCTACACGCGTACACGCGCACACATATTTATTCTATCTACCACGAATAATTTTAGACGATCCATAAAACATTAGAATATCTTACGAAATTGACTGACGATTTTTAAAGTTTCGAATTTATTTAATTGAACGTTATTTGAATAACAATTAATAGTTCAGTAAGGTCAACTAAACGCAATAAATATATTCGCAGATACGTGATACGCATATGAATATACATATAAAGTATCGCAAATGTTGTTTTTTCGAACGGAAATATTAGACATTATTTTTTATCGTTGCATCATAGAGAGATCATCAATTTTTAACAACGCTTGTAAACAGAAATTCATATCGTGACATTAAATAGAAAATATTGTCGTTCTATTAATAAATTAATATTGATTTTTTTGTCCTGTTTTTATTTCACGATAAAACGATTTTTTTTTAAATCCATCACAAGCGATTCTCGTATAATACTGATTTCGGAATCGATCCTTGGAATCTTACTTCCTTACGATACTTTTCTTTTTAACCGATAAACGAACGAAACATTGAAACAAATAACATTATTGACACGAAAACTACTAGTATCGTTTAATTTGATTCAAAAAAATAAGAAGATAAAAGATATTCGTAATTAAACAACTAATTGGACTGTATATTTCATTCCTCTTATACGCGACGAACAATCTTTTATATTATGTATGAAATAAAAAATAAATTATTTCTAGCTAAAAATGGACCCCTTTAAGAGTTTTTTTTTTTTTTATTACTTTTTTCGATAAACCAATTTAATCTTCGTGACTTACAATATACTTAAATTCAAGATGTTATAGAAAATTGCAATCTTTGTCAATAATTTTGTTTAATATCGTGAACATCTTGTGAAACGTTTACGAAAAATATAATACTATCTGCTTATAAGAAATAAAATATCAGCATGCGTACGCAGTATGCAAAATCCTTTGACTTTTTGTTTTTATTTTTCCCGATCATCGTGATTTAATGTTTGATCTTTGAGAAAGATCGTAAAGATTAAATTGCTATTACCAGAGCGTAAGCCATTAATCGTTCATCGTTTGACCAGTTTCATCGAGATTCTCTCCGCATAATCAGAAATTCCAATAGTCTATGCGAGGTACGGTATAAATTACAATACATCAGTTTATTTCTTTGAATGACATTCAACGTAAACTCGAATAAAAACAATGCTTTAGACAAAAGTTTCATTTGATATTTTAGAAATAAATAAAAAAAGAAGAAAAAGAAGAAAAAGAAGAAAAAAAAAATAATAAATTAAGAAAAGAAGAAGAAAAATCGTTGAGTAATGATCGGGAAGGGATGAGTGGAGGGGTGAAAAAATCGAATTGATGCGAAATATTTATATTATATTTGTTAAAAATAAAATTAGAGATATTCAATGAAAATAAAGAAGAAAAGCATTGATTTTATATGCCATATTCATTTGGCATCACTCTCATTTTCCCCCGACGGAATAGAATTAAATGCATTGCTATCTGTCAGGGATAATCTCTCGCGTCTTCGTGGATTTTCCAAGCCCCTAAAATCTCTGAAGGCTATCTTGCCAAAATCCATGATTTTAGATTCTGCCTACGTGGTACGTGGGAATGTTACAGGGATCGTACAGTAACGGACGCGGTAGAATAATCCGGGACACTGGACCCGAAGTAATTTTAGAATTTGATGGTATCTCTATGTTAATCGAGTTCGTTATTTTCATGCAAACGAGACACCTTGCTAGCCTCGCGTGCGTACCAACCTCGTAAATAATAGCGACGCGATATTAAATGCACTTGCTATCCTCCTATCGAGTACACACTCTCTCTCTCTCTTTTTATTTTACTTTCCGCTTTCATCGGGAGAAAATTCTATCGCATATAATGCGAAATCACCGTTCATTTGTATCATCAAATACGACGTCGATTTACGTCGACGTATATAGAAAAAAATATTTCACCACACAACATCTACGAATGATTATACTAGTACATCGTTCGTACGTGAGTTATTACGGGTGAAAATATTTTCGTATAAATATATTATCTCTTCCCTAAGAGAAATCGATCATTAACCCTATAAAATTTTGAAATGAACCTTTTTTACGGTCTAAGGAAAATTTGTTTACTACCGAATATATATGTTATCGAAAATATATCTCTAGAAAAAAAATGTTATTTTTTTTATATCAATTATTACGCGAACTCTCTTTTGAATAATCATAAATCATCCCGAACGATGTTCCAAAACTAGATGTATAGAAGGAGACGCGTTTTAGGGCATGGTACCAAAACTAGCATGAAAAATCGAATTCTCCGGTGTTCGGCATCAAGAGATAAGGATCGACCCGGATGTAATTCGGGATGGATACTTCTATATCTATATCTATATGTATGTATGCATTCGGGTTCAGTAAATCCATAGGATCTCTCTCTATCTGCGACTCGGAATGTGTGTACACTTCACGCTCCAAGTGATTCATACCTTCTAACGTGGAATTGCAGTACCTTCTGACGTCGAAAATGTCGAATGAAAGAGAAAGAGAAGGAGATAGAGATGGTGGGGGAGGTGGTGGAAGGAGGGGAAGGGGAGGAAAGGGGGAAGGGAAAAGACGACATCGGTTTTCCCCGAGTATAGGTACACTTCAAGATCCACAAGCAATTTACGCTCCCTTTTTCGCATGACGTTCTTCCTTCTTCTTCTTCTTCTTCCTCCCTTTTTTCGATTTTTTTTTTTATTATCTCCGATGTTTCCTAACACGTGGGATCGTATTTTAGAAAAAAAAAAGAAGGAAGAAGAAGAAGACAAAAAAAAGAAGGAGTAGTACACTTCCCTTAGCATCGTTGAAGTTATTTCGTCGAAGAAGAGAAGGGTTTCGTCGAATTAAAGAACATGATTGGCAATCTTCCCCTTTTGCTATCACCGTTCTCAAGTCAGTCCTTTTTTTAAGACCTTGACTTCCTTCCCCACATTCTCAACGTCCTCTCGCAAATTCCTACGCTAAACGGATACCACGTAAGATTTGATCTCGGTACCGCACAAATGGGCTGTCAAAAAGTAACTCCGAAAAAAAGGGGAAAAAAAAAGAAAACGCCTGGAAGACTTCGAACCCGAATGTTTCGTTAATCTAACGCGAAACATTTGGAAAATACGATAAAGTAATAATATATATGTATCATTTAAACGAAAGAGAAATAAGGGGGAAGAAAAAAAGATAAAAGTGGAGAGGGCAAGGGTGAGAGAAGAGAAATAATTCTATTTATCTTCACCATTTTACTTTTCCATAAAACAATAATAAAAAATTAAAATCTGCTTAAAAGGTGGAGGTTACAACATTTTGACGCTTTCCGATAAAACTATAGGAAAAATATCTTTTGTTTTCATTATCATTCAATATGCGACGCGTGTATATTGATGAATATATTGAAATAAATATTATTTGTATGATATTAAATATTGACGACAAAATTTAAGTTGTTTTTCGTCGATAAAAAAATATTTCTTATACTTGAAAATCGCGTAAGAAAAAACAATTTGTTTGTTTAAGTTAGTTTTTCCGAGTACCAAGGTGGTGTAACAGCCCCTTTAAGATAATCTCATTAATTCGGCACGAGTAAACGAAATAAATAAAAAAGTAGTATCGCTTTATAAAAATGATTCGTTTAATATTCTTAAAGAACTACTACTACTACAACAACAAGAAAAAGGACAAAAGGATATATTAGTGAAATTAGTATTCATTGATGATGAGGTACATAAAACAATATAAAAAGGTACGACATAAGATCCAGAGAAGCAACTTCACTTGTTACGGTCGAGAGAACTTGTCAGACCCTTTTGATCTTTCAAAGGGAACTACCTCCTCTTTTCACGAGAGAAACGTTTCCGGTTTCTGGGCTGACAATTAAGTCGAACCTTTGCTTCTCTAATCGGTTCTTAATCTACCCTTGAATGCTGTTCGTCAAAAATATATTTCCTAAGAAAGACTTGTTCAAAAAAAGTAATCCTGATTAATCTAAAATTTAATTTAACCTGCATATATTGAAACCGAAAAAGAAAAAAGAAAAATTTAACCCCAAACCCAAGCAAAATGGTTTTTACTGACGCCATGGATATGTGGATTTTTTTCAATTTGATTGTTATTTAAAAAAATCTGATAAAATTTATTAATACTCTTTAAAGTTTCTAATATATTGTATAAGAGTTTATTTTTTGTTAATAACATTTTCATTTAAAATAAAAAGTAATTAATTAAGCGTAGTAGCACTGGCCCCGAAAAAATTTACGTTACCGATGAAGAGTTTTTAAAAGTCTTCATCGGTAACGTCGAATTCAACGGAATTAAATGAGCGTATAGGTGAGATCTACTACCCCTATTCTTCGTTCATACAATGATAGAAAAGGGGAAAATAAGAGGAAAGAAATTAAGCGAGGCATGAATGGACTAGCGTGAGCTTGGTGAGAAACACAAAGTAAGGTAAAGAAAAAAAGATGGAGTGGGGGTAGAACAAAAGGGTGTGAATTGAAGGTAAAAAACGAAATATAACGCCAAATATATATATATATATATATATATATACTTGAAATATATGAAAAAGAAAGAAAGAAATAAGGAACAATCACGGGTTGGTCCTTGGCAAAATATCTTTTTGCCTTTTGCGGTCTTCATCCGCAGGCTCTTTTTTAAAAACCTGAGATAAAGCACTTTCAAGTGGTTTATTAAGTACGAAAGAAAAAAATAAAGGTAGAAGTAGGAGAGAAAAAGGGGGAAAGAAACAAATGGGATAAAAACATTTTCAACGAAAGTAAATTTTTTTTTTTTTATTAAATATAATGACCATTAGAAAAAAACATATTGTGTAATTAAGAAAGATTAAAGGATAAAGGGTAGGAAAGATAAGAAAACGATACGCGTATCTCGATTGGATACATATACTTACATAATCGTGAGATCTAGTGAACGCTATGTTACAGAAGAGGTATTCTTACCAGGAAAGAGCGTGCGAGATGAGAACGTTGGAAACTGCAAATCAAGTGATCGAGCTACTTCACGAGCGTGATGGATCCGATTAATCACGGATCGTCCGTCCCTCTTTCGGTTCTAACTTACTTATCAGCGTTGAAGTTAAACTATGCCATGCAGTACTACGATAACTTGATCAATTTCGAAATCCAGATCTTCGTTATCTACTTAGCACCTAACTAACTTTCACGTTTCTACGAACTGCGTGTAACATCTTTTAACCAGTAATCCATAAACTATCGTTACAAAATTATACAAGTTCAAACGATTCCGATGATACTCGTCTACTCCGATAAAAATTAATCGATAGAAATGTTTTTTCATTTGTTTCGTAGACTCACGATCAAAGCTGGATGTCCGATGAACCTCGAAGATTTTCCCATGGATACCCAAAGATGTCCATTAAAATTTGGCAGTTGTAAGTTAACAAAATCGAATACCGTTTAATCAAACATTTTCTATCTAACTTTTTCTATTCTCCCATATCCCTTTCTTTCTTCGTTTAAAATCGAGACACAAATATTTAACGTCATAAGTTACTACTTTTTTTTTTTTTATACTTGCTAACCGATGAAAAATGTTTTAATTAATTACAATTCCATAACAAAGTATGTATCTCGCGTGCAAAAAGTTTTATCACGTGAAGCGCATAGATGCATGAAGAACTATGAAGAGAAATATACTCTCGTTTTCTTGTGTGTTTTTTTTTTCTTTTCTTCTTTTTCTTTCTTTCTTTTTAACTTGCTCAAAGTCTAATGAGAAATAAGGTGAGAGGAAGAGGAGGAGGAGGAAGAGGAGGAGGAGAAAGGAGATGGAAAAATAAAAATAATAAAATAAAATAAAAAAGAAGGGAGATGAAGAAAGAGCGTACTTCTCCGGTGAACTCATTTATAATCTCCTCGTAAGGAGATCTCGATGCTAGTTTGTCTCGAATAAGGTAAGAAGAGCCAGATTTATTTCCCCCTTGGAGCAGTTCTAATGTAAAACAAAAATAAAATAAAAAAAAAAACTAACTAACTAACGTAAGAGAGAAAAAGTCCAAATAAAAATTCAAATCCTTCTACGAGAAGGAAAGTGATCGATCGATCTCGTTCATTCTTTTTTCCTCAACGTCTAAATTCTTTCTTCTTTATTTTTATTTTTCTCTCTCTTTCTCTTTCTTTTTAGTTGGATACACAACTCGTGATGTCATCTACAAATGGAACAGCGATAGACAAGTTGCCATAGCGGAAGACATGAAGCTATCCCAATTCGATTTAGTCGCAAATCCTACTGCGAATCACTCAACAACTCCGTCTCTGTCTCATGGTGAGTAGAAAATCTAATCAACGCAATCGAATCTAATTATAAGAATTGAGTTGCCCGGAAAGTTCATGCCAACTTAAATTATATATATATATATTTGATTGAAATTTTTAATATATTAGATTGCGTGGAAAGTAATTTCGTTGTATTTTATTTATGATACGATACTAAAAAAAAAAAAATAAGCTTTTGATACAACGTGTACAAGCATTTCTTGAAATCGCATTTGTATATTCTTTAAATATTGCTATATATTATTTTACACATTGGATTACTTTTTTATACGTCGATACGAAAGTAGGAGAAAAAATTCATAGACGAAATATCTCGTAAACCGATCTCAATACTCGATTTCAATTTTCCTGACAACCCCAAAACGTACAGAATGTCTCAAATTTAGTCGACCAAACTTAGACAACTCGCAGTTTGATCGTCTAAGTTTGAGGCACCCTGTACGTATTTTTATCTGCGTGTATTTTTAGAACGATTAACCCATTTGCACCCGTAAGCGTAATAACCTGCGAACTATGACTGCCACTTATCATTGAGCGCGGAATAATTCGCGCGCGTCTTGTTCCAGCGGTAGGTAAAATATTCAAAGTACATCGCCAACATAATTCTACCTATTTTATTTTTGTAATACAACGGTATTTCTAATTGAAATTAAATATTGTTCAAACAATTTCGATTAAATAGCTTGAAATTAAAATCAATCGTCGATCGAATATGTTTTTCTAACTTATAAATCGTACAATTGATTATGACAATGTCTAACATAAATTGTAAATACTAATGTAAGTCAAAAAAATGAAACAAATTTATTTTACGATTTGACTTGATAATATAAATAATAGTAATATGAGATAAATTATATTATGATGAACCAAAAATTCGTGCGTTTTTAAACCTGTCAACTGAATATGACAAAATATTTCGTCAAACACGAACTACTCTACTGCAATAAACGCGACGAAATTTTTCGTCATGGAATGATGATATTAATTATGAAACAAAAAAGTCTCCATTGTGAAACGAGTTGAACAAAAATTTATTCCCCACGATTAACATGTTTAATTAATTAATATATATAATAATAATAAATTCATTCATTTTTTTAATTAATATTTCACTTGCATATAAAGTAATTTTATTGACTTCAAAAAATTGCACTATTTGAAACAACACAATAAACGCACGAACTTTTGGTTTACCCTAATAAAATATATATATTTTTAAACAAATCTTTTTTTTTTGTTCGCTTAGTTCACTGTCACAATTAACGACAGTGGATTTAATTGCATATTTGAAGCAATATGATGCAAATGGATTAAAAAATTGAAAGAAAGTCGTTGTCGTGAAAATTCACGAGATATACTCATTGATGATATTTTTGTCTTCTACAATTCTCTTATTTATTAAAAACTCCAAAACGGAACTACTTGATAAAAATAGCCTCGATTAAATCACTAGACATGTGAAAGAGACAGAAAGATAAAAAAATGCAAGAAGAAGAAGAAGAGACGTGAATTCTTCTTCCGTAACATTGCCATAACATCGTTCTCTTCTCTTCTTCTGCAATCTAATATTCGGCACTCGTAGAGACTTCATCTCTAACTTTCCTTCTTCTTGAATAGCTAGTAAGCAAGCGAATGACGATGAAGGTAATTGAGTAATCTCCTTTTCCCTTTCCCTCTCTCTTCCTCTTTCTTTCTTCTCTACTACTTCGTTAGAGAACATCGTTCTTCCTACATTCCTTATAATAAAAAATTCACACATTGATTGAGATATCAAGATTTATTATTTTCTTCCAATTTTTATAAATTTTCCATCGACATATGAAATTTCGTTGATATCTCATCAACAACAAAATGATCATATTAACGCGAAAAATATATATACAGATTGATTGTTGTAATTCGAGTTAAATGTTCATTCAAAATGGATTTTATACATTTAATATACGTATATAAATTTTCTTATAAGAATCGTATAGACTAGATAAGAATAATAATAATTTTCGTTGATGAGACTCTCATTTAAAAGATGTGTACATATATATCTATATATACAAACTATGTATGCGAGATAAGTACTTTGCAAACAAACTCGTCCTGCAGAGAATCACACAATGCGACTTCTCTCCTTCGTTGTCCACATTTTCCTCGTAATAGTTCGATGTCTGATGTATTGTGTCGTAGCATCCTCGGCAACTTGCCAATTCAACATCGCACGCGAAATATTAAAACGTATGTTTAACGATTTACGTTTGGATTTTAGCAGAATACTCAATGCTATTGGTATATTTTCACCTGCAAAGACACATGGGTAACTTTTTAATACAAGTTTATGGGCCTTGCATACTTCTGGTAGTACTATCTTGGGTCTCATTTTGGTTGAACAGAGAAGCTACTGCTGATCGAGTATCCCTTGGTACGGTATCATACTTACAATAAAATGTTTAATTATTTATTAACGATTTTCTCTCGTGCAAAGAAATATATTTTTTTGTTTGTCTTTGCAGGTATTACAACTGTCCTGACAATGACCTTTTTAGGATTAGAAGCTAGAACAGATTTACCTAAAGTACCCTATCCTACTGCCTTGGACTTTTTCGTCTTTCTTTCATTCGCCTTCATCTTTGCCACGATCATTCAATTCGCTGTAGTACACTACTTCACTAAATATGGTTCGGGCGAGTGTTATTTCAGCTCTGATTTAAGCGACACCGAAAGCAGTTCCAGCGAAAACGAGGAAATCTCGCGGTCACCGTCCAAACACGGAACGGTATGTGTATTTTTTTCTCTCTCTCTCTCTCTCTCTCTCTCTCTCTCTCTCTCTCTTTCTCTCTTTTTTTCTCTCTTTCTTTTTCATTTATACTAACGAAATAAAAAGATAGCTCTTCCTTGTATTACAGTGTGTCCCAAAAGTCGCTTTTTTACGAAATAAAATAAATATAAAAAAATCAACATATTGATTTATTAGTATTGTATTATTGCAACATTATGTTTTTTCATTTCGAGATATGAATCTTTGGTTACGGTATTATTAAAAAGAAATATTGACCGTCTCTTATCTGTCAGACAAAAAACAAACATAAATATATATAATTTTTCAGTTTTGTTTTCAGCAAAACTTTTAGAACATCTCGTGTGTGCGAGTTTTTTTAATTTAAAGTAACGTTTAAAATATAATTCATCCTATAACGTCCATATAAAAAACGCACTCGTACCACTTACGAGTGATGTATTATTTATCGATTTGAAAACGTAGACAAATATCACTGTTCCTCTCGGGAGACGCGACACGATCCCACAAAGATGTTTCGAGTAGAGTTTGAAAGCATAGAGAGAATAAAAAAAAAAAAAAGAAAAAAGAAATATAGAAAAAAAGGGAGAAAAAAAGAAAATAACTGGACGGATTTTATGAAAATCTCGAGGCACCCGTTCCCGTTATTTGGCAAAGTTTTCACATTGATATATATACATATATGTATATATTTCGAAGCGAGCCCAATTCTAGTATCACTCGTAAAAGCTGCGATTGAAATCGCTCTTTTTGCTAAAACCGCAAAACGTTTCGTACAATGGCAACAAATATCGGGCCGTTAATGAGAATGAATATTCGAAGAGAGAGAGAGAGAGAGAGAGAGAGAGAAAGAGAGAGATTAACGATCAATTCTAATCGCAACAAAATATCGATAAGAATAGAGTTATATTTATAAATTTTGAATAGATACAATTGTTTATTTCAGAATCGTCGTCAAAAAAATTCGGGTAATTCGATTCCTGGAAGTAGTAGAAATTTCACAGTTAACGATGATGGTTTTATCGAGGTAATACCATTATCTGTAATTCCTGATCGAGAACGAACTATCAGCCATTGGCAGTTACCATGTGTTTCTTGTTCTCCATCGGTGAGCCATCATCGTCGAGGGAATCCTCATCATCAAACGGTTCCAACTCCGACGCCAATACCGATACCACAGACTCAATCTCAGTCTCAACCAAAACCTCAACAACCTCAATCTCAATCTCAGGCTCAACCTGGGCAAGCGGCCCAGTCACAGCCTAGAAAATCTTCCTCCCCTGAAAGGGTCGATTCGCCTAGTAAAAAAATTCCACCAAGAAGAAGACGTAGACGTACGCCAAGATATAATTCGGTTTCGAAAATCGATCGTGCCAGTCGCGTCGTATTTCCATTATTTTTTCTAGCAATAAATCTATTCTATTGGTACGCTTATCTTTCTAGAAGCGAACGTATCAATTATTATAATTCAAATCCCAATGGGGCGTGATAAGACGAGAAGGAGCGTTCGTTCGCTCCAATTTTTCTCAATCGTTACCGATCTCGCGAGATATGTAAAACAGGAGAATCGAATAGTAGAATCTCTCTTGATAATACGATTAACATAAGTTTTAGAATCATAAATGGTTTACCGAAAAGTGTTCCTCTAATAATAATATATGTATATATATATATACATATGTAAATACGTATAACCCATTAATGTGAATTATTAATAATTTTAGTCGCATCGTTCTCCTTTTTTCGTTTAATACGAGAGCTAATCGGAACACCCGAACTTTTTGACCTCGATATCGTCTAATCGTTGTCGAGTATTCCGTTAAAAAATAAGTGCTTGTATATACATATATATGCTTTTCTGAACTTGACCTCAAACTTAAGAGTCTTTAACATCTAAGAAATATGAATGTGATTCTATCAGAACAAAAAGCTCGTATAAGATTTATTTATTATATTTAAATTTTTTGAGAATTATATCTAGTAAGCAAAAATTGATTCTATATTATTAAGAACTTGTTGAAAAATAATTTTAATATTACAAAGCACAAATATATAATCGTTTTTAATTTTATTTTAGTTATTACTTACAATAAGTTACTTTTACTTTAGCAATAATAACGGATGACCTATCAATTTTTTTATTTATCTATAATAAATATATTTAATGAGGTTTCGAAAGAGCTCATAAATCTTGGCATCAAATGTTAAAAGCTATAACAAACTTTATTGACATGTTTGCTATGCTATTAGGATTATTTTGTCGCATTCATCAAAGAGAAAATTATCTTTTAAACTAATACGACTAGCATATATTTCACATTGAAAAATTATACGTGTGTCGTTCATCTATTATAGTCTTAAATGTCTCCGTCAAAGTATTACGTTAAATAGTAAATAAACAATATCCTTGTGGTGCTATTTCTTCGTAATACAATACGTATACAATCATGCTTTATATTTAAAAGTTATATAAAATATTGGAAAAATGATAACAAAATATAATAAATTAGTTTTTATTGTGCGTAGATTAAAATATTAATGAAATTAATATACAAAGATATTAATTTATTCTATTCAGATATGTTCTTTTTTGAAAGCCTATACATATATACTTTTTAAACACACTACTGATTCATACTATTCATACATATCTCATTCAACATATTAATGTTTTTTTATATCAGAAGAAAAATAAGATCAATTTATTTTACGATAATAAAAATTGTTTACATCTATTTGTGCGCCAACGGACGAGTAAACGTTTAGTTCGTTACTACTGATACTGACACAATGTTTCTTTTTTTAAATTCTATTACAATATAACTTTACTATATATAATATAGCGATACGAAAAATCAGTTACAAAAAACAATACACATATGATGGAACTATAGTGAAAGATGTAAACAAAATAAAAATACCTGTACATGTTCACAATACATAAAGCATGTAATTTGATCATAAATTATTGTAAATTAACATTAACTGTTTCTAATTCAACAGTTATTATCAATTACTTGATAAAAAACTAATTACATCTGACAACTGATCAGTATAATAATCAGGTATCACAAGATCATTTTTTGTTTTTTCCGATTTTATGACAGATTCTATATCAGATTTTGTGGTCACACCTGATAATACAAGTAATGTCTTGAAACCACAACGTTTTCCAAGAAGAATATCAGTTTGAAGACTGAAATGATTAAATTACTTTACTTATGTTTTTCAAATCAAATTAATCGAGTATTTTTCTTAATACTTACTTATCACCGATCATCAATGTTCTTTCAGGATTTAAGTTATATGTTTTTATAATATATTCACTTAAGAATGTCTCTGGTTTCCCAATCATTATAGCAGATCTATTGCTAGCGGCTTCGATAGTTCTTATAAAGCAACCACTACCTATATAAAGGTATAAAGAACGTATAAAGCATAATTTGTTTTACACATAGATAAAGAAATTAATAAAGGATGCATATTATAATATTGCCTGGGAATTTATTTGTATTTGGAGAAGGTCTATCTGTATCACAATTAGTTCCAATAAAATAGACATTAGGATCTGCTAAGTAAGTAGTAGCTTTCAACAATTTCGGATAGCTGAAATACTTATCAAAACCGACAATCACAGCGCCTACATCTGGATCCGGTTTAAATTTCTTTACTAAATCCAATTCATCTCCTTCCATAACATCAGGCTAAATAGTATTATGATATATTGTATATATATAAAAATATTATACTATGTTTTAGCATTCAATTGCCATATTTAATATTTATAATAACTTACTCCGACGCCAATATGTTTGATATTTACTTCTTCCAATTCCTTGCCAATTGCAAGACTTCCAACTATGTAAGCTTTTTTATTAAATTGTTTTTCTTTAAGATATACTGCTGCTAAAAATGACGTACATACTATCTTATCCTAAAAAGAAAGATTTTTATTAAATAAAATGGAAAATAAACAAAAAATAAACCATTCAAAGGCCAAGGAAATTACCAATACTACAACTCACACGTGAATTCTTGAAGCTTTGACACTTAGAGGGTTAAATGGCAACAATTTTGATAGCGGTTGAATAATAAATGATATGATAATGTATATAACTTCATCAATTTTCTCTACTTGTTGCTTTGTGAAGTTAATCGATTTGACAAATGAGAGACTTACATATAGGACATTAAAATAATTGACAAAAACATATAAAAATAATTGATGAATAAAATAAAAATATCAATTATTAACAATACTCACTGTGGTTACTTCAAAACCAAGTTTTTTGCATTTTTCCACAAATTCAGGTCTCGTTTTTGAATTATTATTGGTTATATAGAAAAATTTTTTCCCCGATTCTTTAAATTTATTTACAGCTTCAGGTGATCCTGGTACAACCTCGTTTTCTCTCCATAGAACACCTGAAATAATTTTTATTATTTAACTATTAAAATAATAAATATATTAAGTCATATATACAATTACTTACCATCACAATCAGATAAAACAACATCAATAGAATTCAAAAAGGTTTGAAATGTTTCTTTAGATAACGATGTCAAACGTTTAGCCGACATCATAAATGCACCTATATTTCGATATTTAAATGGAATGAAATTGATTTCTACTACGTACAGACATATGATTCTTCCCTGAAGATTTTCACTACAATAAACTAAAATCTTAAACTATCAGCTTGACTAGATGCAGAGTATTAGCAAATTGGCTGTGACTGTCTAACATTACGTAATAGCATGCTATGATATTATCTATATATATACATATATATTAACACTCATGTCAGTAATTCCATTGAAGAAGAGTTGTTGAATATAACTTGGACCCCACATCAACGAAATAATAGACTATTAACTGCAATATCCGTATCTTGATAGATGGCACTTTATTCTTTACTTACATATTTTAATTGATAATCATTCTACATAGTTTTGTTTATTCAAGCTGATAATATCAAAAGATTTATTACAATAATAAAAATATTATTATAAAGTCATAAAAAATTATACCGTGATTGATTAATAACAGATTATTTGTCCAATATTTGAACATTTTTATCATTACAACTTTCTTATTACTTTCAGAAGAAAAAAATATATTGTCTTAAAAACTGAGTTAAATGATTTATTTTTAAACCAGATACATGATACCAATATAAGTAATATATATATATATAAAAACTTAAACTTTAAGTGATCATTTCATTTAACATTTGATTGTAGAAAAAATGATGTACTTATTACAAATGTTTTATGTTAAAAATTGTAAAAAGCGACACAAATATTTTATTTAAATTTAAGATGTTTCTAAGGTAATATTTTTCCAGTTTTAGAAATAAATAATTCTATATAATCTAAAACATTTCCTAATGCATCAATATAATAGTCAGGAACAAGCTCTTTTTCTTTCGGTTTATCTGACTGCTTCTGTAAGTTTAGTATTAATATAATAATAATAATGTCTTCTTCTTCTTCTTCTTCCTCTTTTTATTAGGACTTTGACCTTATTAGAAATAGCTTTTTTTATTGCTATTTCTAAGAGCGATTTATTGTTTTTACTGAGGGTAGGTTGCTAGCCTCACCCCTCGAACCCTCTCTTTTTCGATACAAGTCTTGTATATGCGTACCTTGCTTTTAATGCTCATATGCTTATTTTTCCATATGATATTCCATAATAATGTGTTTACTAAAATTTGTAATACCTTTTTTAGTACAATATATTACTTTGTTACTATTATACGTCTTGATTTTTGTCATTTGTACAGAGATCCTGTGTAGTTTTCAATTCTATATCAGTTTTTCTTTTCAAGAGTTCTGCATCTCTTTTTTGATCGAATCGTAATCCAGACAGAACTGTTACCATACTCTTTCTGGGAATACCAACATCTTTTCTTATTTTACGTTGTTTAGTTATTTTTTTCTTTTTGAATTTATTGTTGCTTTCATGAGTTTGTATATGTTGTATTAATTTTGATTTCGCCGATAGTCCTGTTTTACATATATCACAGATAAATTTCTTATTCAGATGATAATAATTAATGTGATTTGTCAAATTAGATTTAGACAAATATGATTTTTCACAATCTTTATACGGACATGGTATAAAACATCTAGATTTATTATGAATTTTTAAATGTCTGTTTAAGTAATTTTCATTAGAAAATACTTTTTTACATTGGTCACATTTGAAATCTGCAAAAAATGAAAAATTTACATTAATCGTAACTAGAATAAATAATCAATCAAAAAACATATATATATATACAATGTTTAATTGAAATAAGAAATATTCTATAAATCAGAAAATGGTGAGAATGAAGCAGAAATTGCAAGTGTTCTATTATACAAAAATTCCTTAATCCAAACAGTCATGTCTCCTAATTAATACGGATACTGGAGGTTCTACTGTATTTGCTTTTTATTGTAGTATATGCATATATATGTATACGAATATTTTTTTGTTATTATAACTTTCTCTTTTACGGATATATTGAACTTCTCTACACAACCTTTTCAACAGAACATCCACCACCTTTCCATAGAGGTCATCTTATCAACTCTCTGAAGTCAACAGCACACAGTGTTCCGAAGTGGTCACCCATCCAAGTACTAACCATGCCCATCGTTGTTTAACTTTAGTAGCTATTCGAGAACTAGTTTTTTCAACGAGGCAAGGCCGTTGACTGCTTTCTATTACAGAATAGTATTTACCATTAATATGTTGTATTTGTTTATGTTTAAAAAGTAAAGTCCATTTATCAAAAACTTCAGTACATTGCGAACAAGGATAACTTTTCTTTCCTTTTTTGTGTAGTTTTTCATGACGCTTTAAATTTTTTATACTTATAAGTATTTTATCACATTGATTACATTTGTATGGAATAACATTATTATGTATAGCAATATGCTGAGTCAATTGATGCTTTTTAGTAAATTCTTCATTGCATTCATTACATGTTAAAACATTATCATGCACACGTGCATAATGACGTTTTAGATTATGACGATTACTTAACATTAGAAAACATTTGCTGCATCTAAAAATAACAAAATTACATTATAAAAAATATAACAATTATTTTATATATGTACATTATTATTTAAAAATGATACCTACTGTAATTTTGTTTTTGTACAATTATGCGTTTCTATATGTCTTTTCAAATGACTGGAATTAGTATAAGCTTTTGTGCATTCAGGATAATTACATTTGTAAGGCCTCTAAAATATATATAATAAAAATTAAAACTTTTTAATTATTATATTTTATACTAAACTATATAAAATATATATATCTTAAAAATAATACCTCTCCTGTATGCAATCTTATATGTCTGTCTAATCGAGACTGCTTAAAATATGCTAGATTGCATCCAGCATAATTACATATATATTTTCTTTCACTTTGTTTATTATCAGTAGAAATATTTCCAATATTATGAGATATAGTAGCACTTAATTTTTTATCTGAAAGATTTTCTGTACTTTTTTCTTTATCTAAATCCATTGTATACCAGTGACTCTTACATGTATGGATTTCTGTGCAACTTCCTTTTGTAATTTAAATACAATATCTATTTATATAATATTCTATATAATTTATTAATATTTTTATACAAAAATAAATAAAGAGAAAATATTTCACATTATATACTTATATTTTAGACAGCAATATTTTAAAATAATTTAATTATCTTGAAAGTATTTTTATATGATATAAAAATTAAGGTTAAATTTTTTGGATGAATCAAAAGATTTGTTGAGATTAATTTTTGGATATTCTAATTTAAAATTGTTAGATTTTATGTATCGAATCAATTTCTTTTTATTTATATTTTGATAAAATAATACTAAATAATCTTTTTTATTATTACAACTGAATCATCACTATATATCTCTAATAAAACTATATATAAAATAAATATTTAAAAGAGAACATTAACTCATTGCACGAAAGGGACCACTCACGATCAGCTGATCGTATTTCGTTATTTCGTTACAAACTGATGTAAGTCAATTAATCATATAAAAATCGATCACTTTCTTTATAATTATTAAAAATATGACAAATAAAAAGAACTAATATTTCGTATATTATATCGTAAATTAATACAAAATATCAGCAACTATATTATCATTCACACCATCAGGAAGAGGTTAAGTTTACCTGCATAAATTAAAACGATAAATGAAAAGGTAAAAATTTATAAAATTAATTTTTTAAATCTAAATATATCACGTATATATTGTAATTTAAATTGTGTTTTCAATGCTGCATTGTGTATACGATATTATTTCAGTATGACAATTATATGGTATATATAAGTTCAGTCTAACAATAATATGTTATATATAAATTCAGTCTGACAATTATACTTAATGAATCATACTTTTTATTATTATTTAACTATTTTAAATAATTATCAAAAGTATTATATCATATTTCTAGATATGATCTAAATACAGTAATAGCGGTGAATTAAAAAATACAATGGGTCAAACTTTATGCGAACCCGTGACAACTAAAAAATCAGCATGTTGCCGAAATTACAATTACCATGTGGGTAGTTCTTGTATGCAAGGATGGCGGATTAAAATGGAAGATTGTCATGTGCATATCCTCTCTCTTCCAGATGACCCAGGCACTGCTTTTTTTGCAGTATACGATGGTCATGGAGGTAATAATATTGTTCTATTTTACTTATATAAAGTTATTTGCATTCAAAGTTAAAACTAATAGGTGCAGCGATAGCTCAACATGCTGGAAAGTATCTTCATCAATACATCACCAAGCGAAGTGAGTATAAGGCAGGAAATATTGTCCAGGCTATGCAACGAGGTTTCTTGGAATTAGATAAAGCAATGCAAAGTGATGCAGTACTTAGAGAAGAACAATCAGGAACTACTGTTATCGCATTGCTCATCAAAGATAATATTTTGTATAGTGTAAGTTATTATGGTTTACGAACCATTTGCAATATATGTTTATCTAGTTTTTCAATATTTTGTATTGTATTTAGGCTAATGCAGGCGACAGCAGAGCAGTAGCAAGCATTAACGGAAATGCAGTTCCACTTAGTCGAGATCATAAACCTACATTGAAAGACGAACGTGATAGAATTGAGGCTGCAGGTGGTTGGGTCGAATTCAATCGCGTTAATGGTCACCTTGCTTTATCCCGTGCTCTTGGAGACTTCATGTTTAAACGTAACAATTACTTGTCACCGCAAAAACAGATCGTAACAGGTAAGAAATATTATAAATAGTTGTAATAATACAAGTAGGGCATATTTAAATGTATGAAATATGTTCCCTAGCTTTTCCTGAAGTTCAACAATTTCCTATAACAGAAGATTGGGAATTTGTTGTCTTAGCATGTGATGGAATTTGGGATGTAATGACGAGCGAGGAAGTAGTAAATTTTATAAGGTCTCGCTTAACTTGGTCAAAAGTTGTAGGAAATGAAATGGAAGGTGTTATGGATCCTGAAGAAATATGCGAAGAATTAATGAATTGCTGTCTTGCACCCGATGCTTTAATGGGTACTGGATGCGACAATATGACAGTTGTATTAGTGTGCTTTCTTCACGGAAAACCATATGCACATCTTATTTCACGCTGTCAAAAATCTAGTACAAATTCTTAGTCATTTATAAATTGGTATATTGACATTTCCTCCTTTTCTTTATCTTTCTCACTGTAACAATCGTTATTTTTTTGAACTATCTTTACTGTCATTATTATCTTATGACGCAATTTCTTTATCACACCATAAGAGAGTGTTAATTAAGGAAGTATTGATGTTACGAAGTGGGGATGAAAAAACGAAAAGATCGAATTTTTAAGTATAAGCATCTTTCATTTTTTTTGTGAAAAATTTAGAGGCCTCTGTTGTAGATATATTAATAGATCTATTTAAATAACTATAAAATTTACTAATTGTTTTTATAAAAACATTATCTCTGATTTTAATGTAAATTTAATGTCTTGAAATTATGCTTTCCATGTGTAAACATATGAATTCCATTATGTACACAATTATGGATTCTTCAGGCCACACCTTTGGAAAACAGGCCGCACAGCAGCTCAATTATAAGCTTTTATTTACAATCTGAAGAATGGACGAGAAATATTCTAATATAATTTGAATAACAATCACAATAAAAGATTGTAAGATTTTTATATTTAGAGTCCATAACGGTCTTGTATAGAAGAAACTGCTGCATTTGCAAGAGAACTAAGTCTTCCTGCAACTTTATTTACACCTTGACGTACACTTTCGCGTACATCATCCAAATCAACTACACCAGCACGTCCTCCACTAAAGCGAGCTGATAAAGAAGCAGCAGAAGAAGTCGGTGAAGAATCTCCTGTGCCAAAATAATCTGCCGATGATATACTGGATGAACCTTCAAAGCGCCGAAGGTTACTTTTGCGTTCCCACTATGAACAAGTGAAAATTATAAATAATTCCATTTTTCAAATAGAGTAAAATTTTTATCATAATAATGTTTATTTTTACTTACTGAGTCATCATAATTACTGTCTTGAAAGTATTGATCAGAACTAATAGCTTTGGCGCTGCCAAATTTCTTTTGAGCTTCTCCTTCATCTGATGTTTTATTATCGCTTTTACTATTATTTTGACGACTCACAGGTGGTTGTCGTTTTGGTGGTTCCGGTTCTGCAATAACAACCACTTCTTCGCTTTTAATTTTGTTACTATTGTTGTTAGGATATGGAATCGATAAAGCTGTATAAAATTCATCCAAACTCATAAATAAATCACCAATAACATCGGTATTTTTTGATCTAGGTTCAGCAGCTGTAATATTTTTTGATGAAGATTCTTGAGTTATTGTCTTCATATCTCCTAAAGCCGAATGACTGGCACCACTAAAAAGAAAGTAATTATTTATGTTAGTGTAGTAATATCGTTAAAAATTACAATTCATTTTATATTATTATAATAAGTTGATAAAAATACCTGCGTGCATTGAATCCTATTCCAAGACGTTCTGCCTGCCCAGCCTTTGACGGATTTAATTGTTTCGTTCGTTCTTCCACTTTCTTAGCTTGCTGACTTAAATTTTGCTCATAACGATATGCAAATCGTGTCGCAATTTCATCTCGTTTTTCTTTTGTTCCTTCATTTCCTACCGTCTCATTTACTTCATTTCCAATTTCTACGACACTTTTTTCTAATTCATCAAAATTAGTTTTTACTCTTTGTGCTCCTAGTCCACCAGCTTTTTTTCCAAACTGCATACAAATAATATAAAATGATCATGTATATCTAAAATTAAGTTTGAACTGTAACATCATATTTAAGTAATATACACGTGCTTACACCTGGTCGTTTAGATTGAACTTTCCTAATACCAATAGTAGACTTCCTTTCAGATTGTGCAGATGGAGCAGATTCTGAAAGTCTTACAGAAGGCCCTACAGAATTAAGAACAATTTCCGAAGATGCACTTGTATCATTTTTCTTTACATTTTCTGTATTCATTGCAGAATTAGACAACATTTTTTCCTCTGTTACAATGTTAGATTCATCAGAATTTAGATCAAAATTTTCATGTTCTTGGAAGAAATCCACTTCTTTGGATTCTTCTGTGTCCGGTTCCACATTTTCCTCTAAGTGCAACTACACATAAAATTATTGTTATAAAATATGCTGATGTAATCATAACTATTTTAAACACCCAACCTCATACAAGAACATATAATGCAAGCTTGTCTTAAACTACTGCAATAAGCATATGTTTTGGTCATAAACATATGATATGAATTTACATATATTTTAATGAAATGAATAAACATTTATAAAATGTAACATCTCAAATGCATGAATCAATAATTTAAATGTTGTTGAAAGATGTATATAAAATTAGACAATATCTTTTTTGAAAGCAATCTTTTTTTATAATTTCTTTTTTTTTCAGAACAGTGTTAAGCAAAGATTAGTAAAATGAAAATAGTGCTTTGTGAAAATGTTTTCACAGCTCACCATTGTTTTATTTTGTGTTGGAGGAAGAAAAACCTACAATTTTTATATTTTCATTTATAACTATTTCTCTGGACAGTGTACCATATGTCAATTACTAAGAAGTTAAAAAATAAAAGTTCTTACTTTTGTTCCATGACGTCGCATTGCAAGTGCAGATGCCAGTGCTAATTTGTCTTTATATTGCATTGCAACACGAGAATTATACTTCTGTTGGGCATCCGTTGTAATACAATTATGTTCAACAAAATACTTTCTCTGCGAAATATAGAAAGGAAATACGATTAACAAAAATACAATTTTATGACAGATACAAAATAAAACTAAATCAAAATACTAAAAGAAAGATACTAACAGCATTAGCATTTCCACCTAATTGCATATTTCTTAATTGTAACCAAGTCCAATTCGTATCAAGTTGAGTTGATCGTACAAATGTCAAATGTACTCCTAGATTCCGATGAACAGCAGAGCAGTCGATGCATAGAAAAACTCCATAAGTCACACTGGACCATGCTGGATTCTTTGCATTGCAATCGAAACATGTCTATAAAGATTAATTATAATTCATTTAAACGTTTATTTAAAAATAGTTTATAAAATTATTAAACAAAAAAATAATTTTCATTAAACACAATAAACAAAATTAGTTTATTTATATTAAAAAATATTCTTCGTATTATTAATTTAAATTTATAATTTCCATAATTACTATAATCATTAAATGAGACGGTGAATGATCGGAAATAATGACAGGTTGGGGACATAAATAAAACGTGTAGTGATTTAAATAGATTTAATTATTTGAAAAACTACACATTATATACTATATATTTCTTTGCTTTAATACAATTGAAAGAGAATATTATCCAAACCTTATTCGCTGGAATTGCACGTAATCTTTTAAAAATATCTTCAATATCGCTCCTACTAGGTCCAAATTCTGCCATTTTTTGACGTGTTGTCAATGACGTTGCAAAGAACTGTGGGGAAGTATGAAGGTGGTCAGTGTCTTTTTGGCGCTGTTATCGCTTTATTTTAAATTATATATTTGCATCATATATATATTATATAGTTATATATATATATATATATATATATAAGTATAGTTTGCATTTATAATATTTACATATGCAATTCTGATATAAATTTACAAATATAAATAAATACGAAAAAATAATAAAACATCAATATTTACATTTCTATGTTATTAATAAATATTAAGTTAATCGTTGTTTTTTAAAAAGTTAAATAGAAAATCGTAAATAAACGATTTCTTGATCCTCGACGTTATTATTTTTTTTTCTCAGCAGATACATCTGATCGTCCTACATTTGGTGAATCGCTTACATTAACTTCTTCTTCCTCTATTTCCAAACTGTTCAGTCTATGTATTCAAATATAAAAGTATATTTTATATTATCTAACTAATCTGTGTATTGCTCTTATTGTATATACAATATTTAAAAAAGAATAGCTTACTCGTCTTGTTCTAGACTGTAAAGCATTTGAAAACCGGCATCAAGACTAGGAGGAAATCCTATATCTGGATCTAATAGTTGAAGCGTTGGTACTTCACGATAAACATTACCAAATTCATCTAATTCATCTAATTGCAATTTACTAGCTGCTTCATCCAAAACTATTCTATAAGTTAAAGCCAAAATAATAGTATTGAAATCGAGATTCAATTTATTATTTGAGCCGTTCACAGACCGAAGATTAACTCCACTTTTAGAATTTTGTAAAATTTTATTATCAAAACACTTGATTAATACAAATAAATTTTCTTAATAATTATGCTTAACATCACTAAATGACAACCATTTTTATGACCAATCAATAATAACTGATATGACAATGTATATTACTTCATCAATTTTCTCTCCTTTTTATTTTGTCGAGTTAATTGATTTGGCAAATGAGTGGCTCATCTATAATACGCAAACTTACTCGATATTAGATTTAATTTACCTTTGTTTTTCCATCATTATTTCAACCTTTGTTTTCATATTTTCTTCAAATCTTAAAATATATTCTTGATAATAATCATGTATAGCTGTTATCCCACCTATTCCTGTTTCTAACAAAACTCTTTCCATAGCATCCTGAAATAAAATTTATATATATATGTAAAATATAAAGTTATTATATTCTCTTAAATTTATTATAATTATTTTACTGGGAATCCATGATCTTCTTGTTCAGCAGCTACTTTCAATAGAAGAGCCATTCTTCTCAAAAAATGGTCAGCAATATTGGTAAGCATCTCTACGGCTAGATCCGATGAGAATTCAAAACCTATATGAGCTAACAATATGATAACTGTATGCCTCAACAAATTATGTGCTGTTTCTGGTGTTAAATGGTGAACAGTAGAGGAATTCTTGAATGTATCTCTAAAAAAAGAATTTAAACCTATAACTCAAATGTGATAAATTAATATCATTACTTAGAAATTGTACATACGTCTCAACGTCTGCAGGTAAGAATCGAAACAGATTAGATGGCACTTTAGATTCTTCTTGAGAATCTTCTCCATCAATCACAGATAAATTTTCTAGTACTGTTCCTTCATCCTATTTATATGGATTACACTAATTAAATCACATTGATAAAATATTGATTATTTAAATAGTTTATTTACTTACCATCATCCTTAATTGTTGATGAAAGTTTATTGTATTTAATACATGAAGGTTTCCTATAGGAAGTCTAAACAGATGGTTTAATATTATTATATAATATTAAAATTATACTTTACGTCTTAGTATTATTTCAATATATTCTTACTGTATATATTCTGGTTGTCGATCAATCTGATAATCACAATCAGTATTATTTGCTTCGTCCATAACTTGTCTCCAAACATTTTCTATAATGTCTGGTGTAATTACTTCTTGTTTCCAAGTTTCTCTAGGAGGCAATTCACCCCACAAAACTGGACTTCCATGGGCTTTGCTAGATTTCATCATTTCCTAGCAAAAATATTTTCACTAATATACATTACTATAACATTTATATATATAATCAATTTTAAAAATATACATAATAATGATGTATATAATAATATTGATTATGAAATATACACATTTCAATTTTTTGTAATATTTTTTATAATAACAAATGAACAACGTACCATATAAAAAACTATATTCAAAATAAGAATATTAACAATACAGTATCGATTCACTCTATATTAAAATATCCCGCGCAAACTGCTGAAACTTCAGATAATACAAACTACAGTGTTATTGCATTAACCAAGCAAAAAATATGTACGTAAAAAAAGGTATTATTTACAAAATACTTCAGTTTTATCTTGTTTCGTAATGATAACTTTTCCTTCTTGTGATAATATTTCCAATGCAATGCAAGAACGACACTTAACCGTATGTGTTACTCTTTATACGATTCTAGACGTAATTGAATTCTAGTAGGTTATAATATATATATATGCAACGCGTTTTGTCCATATTTTGTTATTTGTTCTGAAGATATTACTTAAAAAATAAATATCGATTTTTTCGATTATCGATATCACTTGCAATTATAATAATACATATGGATAAAAGTAAAGGTAAGCAAGTAATTATTTAGAGAAAGAACAGCAAATATATATATATAGATTATTATAAATTATTACGTGTATACTGTATTATAAAATTTTATATTTATATTTTAAGAACTGTAATATTAAACAAGCAAAGGATTGTACTGATTAATAGACATAATGGAAACTGCAGCAGCTTCAATTTTAAAACGAGCAGTGGAGAAAGACAAAGAGGAACAATATACTATGTCTCTTATATTATATCAAGAAGGTGTACAAATACTCCTAGATACTATAAAAGGTTTGGACTATAATATAACAATTTTATACATATACAGGGTAGTAAAAAGAAAAAATACAATATATATTTTAAGAGGCTGTCATAAGGAAGTCTTTTGGCAATGTATTGAATATTGACTTTATAAAATATTAGGCCCTTTTTTTATCATCCTGTATATATAAATATTTTCAATATTTTTTATCATGCGTATTAAATTATTGTCATTGAGAAATTAGTAATAAAATGTAGAAACAAAGGACCCAGTTAAGAACAAACATTTTACTCTTATGGCATCGCAATACTTGGATAGAGCGGAGAAGGTAAAGCAATTAGTCGAAAAGAAGAAAATACAAGGTACATACAGGGAATTAATAAAGATTAATGATGGTGCAACCGGTTATGGATATAATAGTCTTTTTGGTAGATTTCTGGATGCTATGGTTACATTCATTCAAATAGAAGATCCATATATAAGAACATTTCATCAGGTATTTTAATGTTTAATATTTAACTTTTTAACGCACACATTGAAGTTAATTAGAGTAAATGAAACTGGCAAAAATATGTACATTCAAATTAACTCTTGGTACTTTGCTTACAGTGTCAAAATCTAGTAAGAATGTGTGAGTTAGCAGTTCAAAAATGTCATTCTCTATCAAAAATATTTCTCATTACTACATCTGATCCAGATGATTCTAAAAATCAATCTAAAAGGCTTGAAGAAACGAAGCAGAGCCTGAAATCACATCTTGTATCATTTGAAATTACGTATTCTGATACATTACATGACAGACAAATTATGTAAGATACTTACTTATTTTAATTATTTTAATATTTGGTAAAATATATTTAATATATCTAATATATGAATATATATATTCATATTTTTTTACAGACTTAGCAATGGATGGATAATAAAGATAGGACGTGGTTTAGATTATTTTAAAGCACCTGCTGGAAAGTTTGCTTTGGGTTCTTGTGATCTTGAACTAAGATCATGTCAGGAAACTACAGTAGATATTTTTCATAGTAGTCAATTGAATGAAAAGTAATTATGAAGTAAGGTATGAACATTACAGAGCGAAAAGTTGTTCGTTTTTCAAACCAGTATTAATGCTTAGGTTTAAGAAATGATGAAACACATGTCTTTTTCTTTTTTTTTTAAGAAATGGTATAAGTGGATGACATGAATTTTGACTATCAGATTTTTATTCTTAAAAAAAAAAGTTTTCACCTTAAGAATATAATTCTGTATTATTATATTTATTATAAGCGGGTTGTTTATATTCCATTATATGAAATTCTTTGGTCGTGAGCGGATCGATGGGATGCTTTTTATATTTTTATCAAAATTATAATATATCATTTATTCATTTACATTATATATATAGTTATATTTTATGATAATTATTTAATATTGCGAAGTATATTAAATTTTTAAACAATATGATTTTTTTCAATTACTATGAATTACATATATAGTATTCTTGTTTTGTATATATATATGTGTGTGTGTAGATATATTTACTTTTCTTTTTATAAAACATTTACATTATTTACAATTTTTTTTCGACCATTCGCACTTATAATTAAATGTATTTTGAAAATTGAGCCGTTCATTTTCCAAATCGACTAATTCCATAAAATAACAAATAGAGAAAATTGATAAAATTAAATATATTATCGTATCATTTATTGTTCAATAGACATACTCCATTTTGTTGTTAAATGGTTTTACAAAGTTAAGCATTAATTAAGTGCTTTGGCATTAAAATTTAAAAAGATTTTAAAAGTGGAGTCAATCGCTTTGGCCTGTGAACGGGTTTAATTAATTAAATTAATTAAAATAATCGTGTGCTCTCGCTACATCTATTTGTTTCACAGCTTTCTTGCATGCTCGTCTTAAAGATTTTGTATACTTTAGAAGTCCAGCTTCTATTTGTTCTTCATCCTCGGTGAGAAGAAAGTTGACGTCATACGTGGGAAGACAATCGGCACCACCAACTGCAACTACTTGTCTCGCTATTTCTGGATCTACGCAAAGTCTTATCAAAGCAGCTGCAGCTGTGGTCTCTAAAGTTTGATATGCTACGTCCAAACCTAGAGGTCTCATTCTAAGGAAACAAACCAATGCAACAGATGCTCGTACTTTAGCCAAGTATTCACGAGCTTCTGGTAAACGTGCTAATTCATTAATAAGAGAAGCCACTTGCTGCATCAACCAAACGTTTCCCCCATTTGATTTTTTCACGCTTCTTAATAGTTTCTTAACCGTATCTTGTTTTATTATAATATCAGCGCATTTTCTTGATTTAGATATTTGATTTAACGCAGCAGCTGTCAACAATAACGTTTGTTCCGAACTAGCATTTTCAATAAGATTTCCTAAAGCAATAATTAATGTATCCGCAAATGGTTCGACATGTGGTAAGCCTACGGCATTGGTCCATGGTGCAGTTATCTGTACTATCAAAGCCGTAGCTTCCATTTTGTTGATTTCCGAGGACGTTTGACTGGACAAGAGGTCAATCACGATTTCCGGTCCGTCATCTTTAACGAAGTGCTCAATTGCTGTTCTCGAACAGCACACGCTCGAGAGAGCGCGTAGAGACGTGGCTACGTAATCATTTGATTTCCTAATGGCAGAAATAAGATAAGTTAGGAGAGCCCTAATTCCTGAACATCTCGCGATACTACTGCCTGCTCGAGCTCCAGCTAAACCTAAAGCAGTTAGAGCTGCTAAAGCCCCTCTAGCCACGCTACTGTCTTCCTTCGGTGTTTCTTCCAAACATCTTACTATTTTCTGTAAAAATAATTATCGTTAATAATAAAACGAATAAATTTTTGTGTAGGTTCTATTTAACTAAAAAAGGATGACGAACCTCGATATAAAAATCTAAACGAGTATTAATGGCACTATCTACATAATCTTTCATGCTTTCTAATTGCATGATAATCCCCTTTAAGTTCGTTTGTTGAATTCTTCGAGGTGGCGGTGCTCCTAATTTCGATAATACTAGAAAAGCGTTTTCTTCGATGGCACGTAATAACTCCATTTGTGATCTACCATTTTTCGAATACGAGATCTCCCTAAAAAGGTAGATTGTATCGTGTTAACGTATTAAACGAATTAGTCGAACGTTATTACTTTTAGAAATATTACAAAATATCCTTACTTTGAAATATGCTGATAATGACGTGAAAATTGTTCAGCTCTCACGAGAAGCTTGCTCGCAGCTGCCGTAGCCAAAGAAGATAATATTTTCAAATCTTTCATTTGATCCTCCTCGGAAATCAGATCGTTGTGCTTTCGCCGTGGTAAACTCTTACTTTGAAGAGCGATATAACATTCGTTCGACGTTTCTGTTGTCAGGTCATTTAACCATGTCTTTACTGGCGGTGCAATCTCGCCATCAATGTTATTAGGAAAATTGACGAATAAATCGTACGAGAAATTTGTTGAATTTTTTGTTGTTACTTTTGTAGAATTTAATGATTCGTCTTCTAACGAGCTAGATGAAAGACTAGGCAAACCACTCACCATGATCTTCGTTCTGAAAAAAAAGAGATCATTCATATTACGAACGCCTACGTTAATTATTATACTCTTGTAATTTTGTCTTGTACAGTAGACTCCCGTAAAATGCGAGTTCTTATAGTGCAAATTTCTATAACGTGCTAAAGATATTGCGACAATTATTTTCCTATAACACGATTTCTCGTACAACATGCTATATAATAAAATGCGGGGAATCCCCGCATTTAAAAAGTTATCTTTATCACTACCGATTTCTTATTCGTTATATTTTATTTTTATTAAAAAAAAAAAAAAAGAAGTTCTATCAATATTTACATCTAATATATATATGTTCTCATGAATTAATTATAAATTATCTCGAAGGAAATAAACATTTCCTAAAACGTGAATTCATACAACGCTTAACATATTAATCGCGTTATCCGAAAGTTTACTGTATTCTCTTATCTTTTTCGTTTTCTTTTTATTTCCAAATATTACCTTAAATGAGACATTACGGAATATGTTAGAATTTTTAAATTTCATAATAATAAAACGATTATATTACTTTCGTTCGATAAAATACAGGAATACTTTCGATTTATTTTCCGTCTTCCGGGATAATGGATCAAAGTAGAGAAGCGATAGTGAATAAAGACTGACTAATCGGCCACCTCCGGAACTGGGATTTTCTTCTGAATAGGATGACTAATCTCGGTTCTTATAAAGAGCTATGCAGCTATACGATCACACCTGCACCCGTTCTGTACTCGCATATATCAGTTCAAATTCTTTTGAGATACGTTGTCCCTCGAAATGAGATGATCAAAATCGACTTTCTTATTTCTTTTTTTCACTCATGTACACATATCTCGTGATACGTTAAATTTATTCACGATATATTAAACTAAACATTAAAGCAGTTTGCATAAATCAAGCTGAAAAGGAAAAAAAATATGCGTGTCGGACGACGTCATAACATCGTTTTCATCGAAAAAAGTGACTCAATGTTAATCTCGTAACATCCTACGGATGAACAATTCATTTTTTTCCCCCGTTTAAGAAAATTAATCATCATTTACGTTGATATTCTTCCTTGTAGTAAATATATTGGAGTATAGTATAAAGTTTATTCTATATAATTTATAAATATAAATCGAATATAATATATTTATATATATATAAATTTGTCCACAAACTTTCCGAACAATCAAATAGATCATTAAATTTTTATATGCATATAATTAATGAATAGACTTCGTAAGAAATTTAAATTTATGTTGATCCTTAGAAAATGTTCCGTTCTTCTTTAGACAGACAGAGTATCTCAGTTATTTGTAACTTCATAGAAGGCAAGACCTTCCGTATTATGAGACAACTTGTGCATATTAAGTGTTCCTCGGCTATACCAGAATATTAAACATCAATGTTAGTAGGTGGATTGTTTTTTTTACTCGCGCCATACGTGTCTTTTGGTGTATCGAAAGAGATTAAGACATGCCTATCAATGTGTTCAAAGATACGATGCGCTACTTTCAATATATAGCTTCAGAATCGATAAGTATATATACTTACCCTGGACAAATAATATTTATCTAGTAATTTATAATTCAGTACCTCTTTTATATCGTATATCGCGAAAAAAAGTTCTTCTACACAAAAGACGTATATACTTGCATACATACACTCGTGCAATAGTATCTATTTACGAAAGCCATAAGAATAACAAGGTGAAGTTCATTACGCGTCGCATTCCTATCGGTTTGGCTCACCATAGGCATATGATCGCAACGATTCACTCTTCTTTCATAAAACCCACACATTTCTTATATCTTATCGTTAATGAACAAATTTCAACATATAAGATAAATCTATTAATGATTTTTCATTTTTCGAATTTCACAGTGTTCGCTAAGATCGTAATGCACTTTTATTTAATAATATAATTTGGTAGATATTAGACTATTTAAGGTATTTTCTAAATCCACCATTTTGTTAATATAAATACTTGAAAAATATACCTTTTGTCCCGTTGAAAATTTCGTGTTTTGGGATCTTTCGGAGTCGAAGTACAAGTCGGTCGTGGTATTAAATCCTTCTCGAGCCAAAGCGAACCAATTTTATGTCGAATTCTACGATTTCTTTCCTTAGCTTTTTTACGTCGTCTTCTACGTCTCTGAGGACTTTCATCTTCTAAAGTTTGCGAGCAATTAGATCGTTCGGAGTCAGAGAAACCAGAATCTAAACTCTTCAGATCCTGACTGAGAGGACTGAGGGATCTGTTCTCTGAAACTATGGTGTTTCCTTCGTTTTCGTGTGTACCATCATTGATATCCGTTTTTTCTCTACAAATAATATTGAAAATTCTTATTTTATGAAAAGAAATTTCTTTCATTGTCACAGTAGATTTCACAATACATGTATTTAATCAGTTTCCACGACTTACCCTTGAAGTATTGTTGGATTTTCTTTACGGATCGATGCATCATTGAAAGTCTTATCTTGTTGCGATTCACTGACTACCGGACAAACGTGTATGACAGTTACGTTATCAACATTGGTAAAATGACTTTCGCGTAAACTGGAGGATCGATTTTCTTCTTCTTCTTCGTTTTCTGAAGGATAATCCGTATCGATAGGAGGAGGAGGAGGAAATTGAAGTACCTCAACGGGATCTTTTCTACGGATCGTAGAATTTTTTTTTAAATCCTGCGATGACATTTGTTCCCAAAATACTTTGCTTCGATATCTCTTGAAGGTATTCATTTTGTATTTTTCTATTTTTGATTAATGCGTTTAATCTCGTATAACTTTTTAATTTTCTTTTCTCATAACGAAGAGTAAAAAGTTTATATAACGTGCGTTGTCGTTGAAAAAAAGAACCACATAGGAGAATAAGAAAAGGTCTTAAGAAATAGGGGGGGGGGTGTCTTCCTTTCTAACGCGTGCCAGCAGTGGTCACAGTTCACAATTGGTCTCTTCGTTGAATGCGATCCAACGCAAGGGTGGTTTCACGATTCAACAGAGCGGAACAACGGTCCTCCCACGGGTCGCTTGGCCTCAGGACGACACCTGATGGTCTTCTCGTTTGAACCCCTATGAAGAGTACTCCTGTTAACCGTGCATTTTAAGAACAAGACAATCGTTAACACTTCGAAAAATAAATTGTTCTATGTTACATTTTCTTATAATGTTTCAAGGTCGTAAAATAAATCCTCACTTCTTCTATATATTACTTTTTCTGTTTTATTTTTTATTTCAAATAAAAATATTTCCGACAATACTTAAATCAACAGGAGGATAAAATTTAAATGAGGAAAATCGTCAAGTCTACGCGATACCGATCACTATGCGTTGATGTGCCGCAAACGACTGACTCCGATCGAGTTGCTTCCGACTTCTCCGCCTAACTCGATACGCCTCCCTTTTTCGTCCTCGCATAAGCCAAGTAGTATGTGAGACTGGAACTCCTCCCCTTCTCTTTTGTCGCTCTTCTGGGGTGCACTACCTTTCTCTCTATTTTTTTCTACCCCCATCCATGAATGTTCGTTTACTCACAATATATGTATTGGTTGCACACTATGACCGTTAAACCATAAATTCTTTTAATTTTTCGCATAATCGATATTCATTATCATATATTTACTTTTATTTCTTTTTAATGTATAATAGTAAAATAAAAATAATACGAGAGTTCATTATAACGTTTACTTTTTATAGGTTGATAAATTATCTTCTTTATGTGTGAGATAGAAGATAGAAGAGAAGAATATTGATAAAAATAATATAAAGATAAATATTACTATTATTTCATAACGTCTTATTGGATTGCATCGAATACTTATGTACATACTTATATATCTATGTATATACATACGTATGCATCACATTCCTTATCGTCGCTTGTCCTACGTAGATATATGCGTGCGTGCGTGCGCTCGTGCGTGAATGACTCATCCATGGGGCCAAAAGGGGGACGAAACATGCATCACCATGGGCATTTTAACACAGATGCCCCGTACGACGCGTGCCCTCGAACCAATCCGACGCCCCTATGCGTTGCTTCCGCAACGGCAACCACGTCTGCACGAGTCATTTTCCCTACGACCCCCTCTGGTTTTTGAAGGGGGACAGAAAACGAGAAGAGTCACACCTGGCCTTTAAAAGTTCTCTCTCCACTGGCGTGATTTTGTAACGCTAAGCTAAACTTTATCATTTACATGCTGTGTGTGTATATAAATACGTATGTTTGTTACTGATAATAAGAAGAAGGATAATTTCTACATCTTAAGAATTCATCTGAAGCAATTGGAAATTTTGCACCTTTTCTCTGTTTCATTCAAATATAGAAATAATATAAATAAAATGTTTGAATATTTTACATATACTTTTGAAATGTTCATCTTCCGTTTCTTTCATACTTTTTAAAAAGAATAGTAAACCAGACTGGTTTGCTTTTTGTTTCTAAAGTTTTGAAAGTTACAAAACTGAAAGAATACATTCGAATGTCTAATTGATTCTTTTTGACCATTCGATAGAATAAGTCCATCTTACCGGTATTCTTTATTCTATTGTTTAGTTTTCAAAGGTATACTAAGTCCATATGCAGCTATGTATTGCACATACAAAGGTATTCTAGCGCTTGTACAACCCCTATTGTACTTACTTACATACATACGTGCCGTGAAATCGAAGGAACAGCTGCAGATAGACCGTTATTTAAACGTGTGCTCTCGTCCAGATTGATCGTTAGGCTTTTAAATTTTTAATATGACTAATGTTATATCCTTAAAAGCTTTAATAATTACTTTTACGATCTTTATAAACGGACTAAGAAGTAATACAAATATTTATATTGTAAATATTATTTATTCTAAAATTTGTATATATATTATATCTTTATAATCGTTTTATGTACATATGTTAAAAGTACATATATATATAGAAATATATTAACATATTTTATATTAACAACATAAAATAATGTACTCATAAATATAAAATATTCATCATTATTAATAAATTATTCCTATTGTAACACATATACGATTTTTTATAAAGCATAATTAAGTTCATACGATTATTGCTTTTTTATAAAATATTAAAATTAATCTTTCGAGAATTAAATAAATTTGTAAACTAAATAAAATCTCTCTAATTTAATTTTATGTGGAAATATTAATTTATTATATTCTCTCGTTGTTTTTTAGAAATAATAAATAAATATAAGCTAGTAGAAATTAAGTTTTTATTCAATTATAATCATATACTGTCCATTTTTGTGAGCACAAATCCTTTGCCTAAAATACAAGTAAATTATATGGCTGCATATTGTAATGTGACGGAATTCAGATGATTCAGTTTTATTATCAGTAGATATAATGTTATTTATGGCTAATCGATATTTAATTGTTCTAGTAAATATCAGAAAATTGAAAGGAGAATGAGTAATAATCAAAATATGCTGTAGAGTCCATTAATTATGTATCGTATTTTGAAAAAAACATTACGATTAGATTTAATTGGGTGAAATAGCTAGCCGCGCGTTTCCTGTGCCAAGTGCAATTCTTTTCAAACCACATAATGTATTTATTCTTTATATGTTTATTATTTATTTATTATAAAATAAATACATAAAAGTGAGAGATAATTATCTGTAATTATACATAAGTATTTTTATTCTTTTATTAACACGTTCCCTGCCAGACCGTTTTTGAAGACTTCCCGTTCAAGCCGCGTGGGGCGTATGCGCCCCACGCTTTACATTTGTATTATTTTGTTTCTGGCGTATGCCTTACAATAATTAAAATAGTGCAAAAATCATAATTATCAAGGGAAGGTTGTATAGTTTAACATGCATAACACAACAAACCAATAAATTTATTTTTCTAGGAATTTGTTTAACAAATACCTGGTTGAACATTATTATGCCAAGCGAGATGCATCCTCACATATAATTTTTTTTATCATGCCTATATCAGTTTAAAATATAACATTTTAGTTAAATTCAAGTTTGTATGCGATTACAAAGGGATGTTACGATGAACTTTGTTAAAACACGGCAAACATAAGTGTGGTTTATCCACACAACTATCGCAGAATGTTACAACTTTTACAGTACAGTTTCTTGCCGACTGGGAACCTAAATTTTTAACATTTCTTTCGTAACAAATTTCGGCGTTTTGTTTGAATTTCTGTGAGTGGCACGTCAGAATCATCACTAGAAAAACTGTTGCCGTGTGATGCCATATCTGCTTATAAGGAGTAATTATTGTAAAATTTGGAAAAGGTCTCAGGAAGAAAAGGCGGGAAAAATTGAAAAAATTTTTAAATGCAAAATATCCGAATTTATAACACTGAAATAATATGTACGTACCGTATTTCCTTCGTTTAACACACTGAAGAAACACACTGAACTATAAATCAATCCCAGCTTCAGTGAAGCAGTAAGTATTGTGTCAACGACACGCGAATAAATGACTTATCGGAATAAAAGAAATGCAGTTAAAACAAGTTACAGTAAAGAAAAATTGCCCATCACGCCGCGTCGGGCGCATATAGTCCGGTCAATTTAGACATAAAAAGAGTGATCAAGTTACAAAAATTGCCGGAAAGCTAAATTTTGGTGGAGAGCTGTAGCTTACCATTACAAATAAAGTCTGAAAAGTCCCCATTGATTCTATGTGTGCGTTAAAAGTTATTCAAGGTCAAAGGTCGAAATTTTAGGTTTTTTGGATTTTGCT